AGATATAAAGATAATTTTTCCAAAAATGGCATACGATGAAGAAGTGATACAATTTTATCATATTGTTCAAATCGATAGAACGATTTTAATGAGAAACATTTCAAATGAGGTAAATTATCCTAGAACAGAAAAAAAATTATTGTTGATAATCTACAAGTTTAGGTCATGTGTCATTACTTTGCATAAAGTAATGATTTTATATTTTTTTCTATTAATGATCATATGTGACAAATCTATCGATTCAATTTTCTCATTTTGGAACATTAAAACAATAGAATAATGAAAAACACAATTAAAAACTTCAGATAAAATTCCAATTATATGTCAATCATTTGAAAAATTACTAATATAAAAAGAAATCTCGTACTATTCTGTGCTTATGATCATTCACATATCATAATATTTAGTCAATGATAAGACAGAGCAATCTTGTTTTCGATTGACAATTTAATAAAATATTATATAATCACAATTTATAACAACAAATTAATTCTTTTATTAAATTCAAATTTGTGATAAGTACAAATTCTATGTCTATGACTCTAATTTACTGATTGCGACTTATCACTTATTTTTCATCTTGTCAATGTAATACTTAATCATTCAACTTTTCATTAGATATTTTAAGATAAATTCAAATTACAGTGACGTACTTATTATCTATATCTCATAAAATTATTGGTAAAAACTTACCATATTATGAACAGTTGCTGAGGAATTGTCTACATCATAGACAATAACAGATAATATTATCAATTGCTTAAGTCGACCATCAAGTAAATGAAGACAATCATCAAAAGTATTTACACTAATAGATAAATGAGTTAGAATTGGAGAGAGAAAAGTACTCAATGGTAAATCAACGAGTGATAACCCTGGATATGACATCCATTGTGGTTGTATGATACTTAGATTTTTTAAATTCTTGAAGAAATTCAAGATGTATGCATATACATTTATAGTATATGCTTTTAATGAATCATCCATATTGCGTTTATCATTATTGATAAGAGTGAGATTTGTAATTTGTTGTTGAAAAATAAATCGAGCTGATGATTTATCTAAAGTAGAAAAATGAAACTTACATACTGCGGTCTATTTTATCTATAAGATTTTTATTATTTCTCAACTAATAAATTTTATATTAAA